CTATTCTTCCTGGCTCTGCATTACGCTTTCTTACTGACATTTGAGGTAAATCACATAAACCCTAACAATTTCAGAAGTTACAATCCTACAAATATGTAAATACTAAATGTCTCTGATGAATTACATAAACCCTAATCATTGACAGGAAAAAAAAAAACAAATGAATGAAAGCATTCTTATGGTCTCTGGTAGAGAGCTCTTTCTACTCCTTCCACAAGCTTTCCTCCACTCATTGTCTCGCCATCAAATTAGGTTACGTCTCAGACGTTTACGTCTCCAACAGAATCCTGGATTCTTATATGAAACTTGGTTTCATGGGTCATGCCCGTAAGGTGTTCGACGAAATGCCTCACAGAGATTCTGTTTCTTGGAACACGATGATTTCTGGATATACAAGCTGTGGGAAATTGGACAGTGCATTGTGTTTGTTTACAGGTATGAGAAGATCTGGATTCAATGGTGATGGGTATAGTTTCAGTAGGTTATTGAAAGGGATTGCTTCTGCGAAAAGGCTCGATTTTGGGCAGCAATTGCATTGTTTGGTGATCAAGGGAGGTTACGAGTGTAATGTCTACGTTGGAAGTTCGCTTGTTGATATGTACGCAAAATGTGAAAGTGTTGAGGATGGTTTTGTGGCTTTTCAAGAGATTTCAGAGCCTAACTCTGTTACATGGAATGCTTTGATTGCTGGATTTGTACAGTTGAGAGATATCGAGACGGCTTTTTGGTTGTTGGGTTCTATGGAGATGAATGCTGCTATGACGATGGACGATGGCACTTTTGCTCCACTTCTTACTTTGCTTGATGATCCAATGTTTTATAACTTATCGAAGCAAGTTCATGCTAAGGTTTTAAAACTCGGACTTGAACATGAGGTTAATATCTGCAACGCGATGATCTCTTCTTATGCAGATTGTGGTTCAGTATCAGATGCAAAGAGAGTTTTTGATGGCTTGGATGGCTCAAAAGACTTGGTTACGTGGAATTCGATGATCGCAGGTTTCTCTAGACATGAGCTAAAGGAATCTGTGTTTGAACTGTTTATTGAAATGCAAAGGACGTGGATCGAAACCGATATTTTTACTTACACCAGCATCTTAAGCGCTTGCTCTGGCAAAGAAGATCAAATCTTCGGAAAGTCTTTGCACTGTTTGGTGATAAAGAAGGGACTGGAACAAGTAACTTCTGTTTCAAATGCATTGATCTCCATGTATATTCAGTTTCCGACAGGCGCCATGAAAGATGCTCTCTCTCTATTCGAATCCTTGAAATCTAAGGATCTTGTCTCTTGGAATTCAATCATGACAGGTTTATCCCAGAAGGGGCCCAGCGAAGATGCAGTAAAGTTCTTTAGCTACTTAAGATCTTCAAACATAGAAGTTGATGATTACACTTTCTCTGCAGTTCTCAGATCTTGCTCGGATCTCGCAACACTCCAATTAGGCCAGCAGATTCACGCTCTCGCCACTAAATCAAGCTTCGAATCAAACGAGTTTGTAACCAGTTCTCTGATCTTGATGTACTCAAAATGTGGAGTAATCGAGAATGCGCAAAAATGCTTCGAGCAGATCTCCTCCAAACACAGCACAATAGCTTGGAACACTATGATCCTCGGGTACGCTCAACACGGTTCAGGCCAAGTCTCTCTTGATCTCTTCTCCCAAATGTGTAACGAAAACGTGAAGCTAGACCACGTAACCTTCACAGCAATTCTAACAGCTTGTAGCCACACGGGTTTGGTTCAAGAGGGACTCGAGTTGCTTAACTCAATGGAACCGGTTTACAAAATCCAACCTCGAATGGAACATTACGCAGCTGCGGTTGATCTCTTAGGCAGAGCAGGGCTTGTGAACAACGCGAAAGAGTTAATCGAATCAATGCCGTTGAATCCCGATCCAATGGTGTTGAAAACTTTCCTTGGAGCTTGTCGGGCTAGTGGAGAGATAGAAATGGCTACTCAAGTGGCTAAACATTTGCTAGAGATCGAACCAGAAGATCATTTTACGTATGTTTTGTTGTCTCATATGTATAGTGATCTCAAGAAATGGGAAGAGAAAGCAAATGTGAAGAAGATGATGAAGGAGAGAGGTGTGAAGAAAGTTCCAGGTTGGAGCTGGATTGAGATTAGAAACAAAGTTTATGCATTTAATGCTGAAGATAGATCTCATCCTCTATGTCAAGAGATTTATTTGATGATTGAAGATTTGAATCTGGAAATGCAGTGGTTAGATTCTGATAATGTGTTTGATGATCACTTCTTGGTTTAGATCACTTTTTAGTTTTGTTTTCTTATGTTGATATATATGTTTTGTGATTTTTTCGAATAGTTTCAAAAAAAAAAAGGAGAAATTTGCTAGATAACTTAATTATGGAGTCTAGTTATGCAAATATCAGTGGTTGTATAAAAATTGATTTATTTAATAACTTAATTCGTCCATATGAGATGTATTTAATAACTTAACTATCAGTTGTTGTTTTCAAATAAAATGTCAGATTTGATTTATTTAGTGCTATATAACTTATGAAGAAAAACTGTAATATTAAATTTAAGTTTTATTTTGTTGTCATCAATCTTTTTTTTTTTGGGTCTAAATTGTCATCAATCTATTTTTAAAAAAAGTTGGGCGAATGAGTTCATTCCACATTGTGTTATAGATAAACAAATTTATGTGTCCCTTCATGAGAAATAAGGTAAGTAATTTAAGCAGCAATGGTATGAAAAAAAACAAAAGATATTTTTGTCAACGGAAAACAAAAAGAAAAAAAAAATTCCAGAAAAACTCACAAGCACACACAATCCTCTGTTAATTTGGTCAACTCTCAATTAATTATAGCATTTAATATAATTACTTGAGATTAGATAACACAAATGTGTGAGTCATCCATACTAATCCCACAAGCACACCAAATGTGGCGTAACATTTATAAATTGTTGACTTAAACCGAGAGTTGGACAATTTTTTTGGCCAAATAGGATTAAGTCGCGTGATGCTGACTATTGTTTTTTGAAAAAAACAAAATAATAATGAAAAATTTTAAAAAATTGCCACTTTTCAAGTGACACTTTACAAAAATGCCACTTTTTCAAAATTATTTTTTCTTTATATTATTTATGTTTGGGTTAATTATGGTCTATTAGGGTGTAGTTATGAATGTTTATAGGGTTTTAGGGGTCAAACCATTTTTAAGGGTTTAGAATTTTAAGATATATGCCTTGTAAATCTATAATTAGTGGCATTTTTMRAWWTGMACACTCCTAAGTGGCATTCTTGCAAATGTGCACACAAAAATGGCTTTTTTTGCAATTGCCCCAATAATAATTCAAGAGTTGAAAATATAAAATATTTAAGAGATGACAAATGTGGGGCTCTTATTTATTGATGGATTCTCGTATAATTTATGGATTCTGAAAATTGTGAGATTTTATAATTTTTTGCGGATTATTGTTGATTTTATAAAATATTTGTG